CAGTGTTAAAGAAGTTTTCGATTTCTTTCAAAAAAGCGATAAACATGTGCTTCTTGCAATGTACGGATGATATTGATATCGTGAACGAGGCCAAAGCCTACAAGGTACCGATTTTATAAATCGTCTATATATTCATTTTCCGCTCGACTCTCACTCTCAACCTCTTTTTACAAATAAAGTCTACCTTAGACCGAATCTGCCCTACACCGAGTATTACGAACCAACCCACCACCACCACCTCATCAAAATTTTTGCCTTTCAGTTCCACTTTCCGGTTAGATACTATTCTTCCAACCCGATCCACCTCACCTCAAACCATCATTAAATCCGTCGTGACGCCTTCGGCTGGCGTGACGAGCGATGGCAACCTGGGAGTTGCCTCCACTAGAAAATTTTGGTTAGCTTCTGTTCTGGTGGTTTCGATTTTCATGTTTTAGAGAGTAATGGAAAATTTATAAAATATTCTTAATTCAAGTTAAATTTATCTAATGGGTTTATTGTGACATCTGATGGATGGTTTATCTTGTTATTTCGTTAATTATTAAAACGTAAGACTACCACCTTTGGGATGTATAATATATTTAAAGATCCAAAGTAATAAATACAATATTTTTTAAACATCTTGTTGAACGCTTCTTTACGCGCTGAGGACCTGTGCTGTGGTCTAGAATAAACGTGACGAACAAAATTTTTCTCGGTTTTATCTACACGTTCCTCTCCTTTTTTTTTTTTTTTCCTTTAACACAATATTCAATCAACAATTTTTATTAAACGATTCCTAAATTGAATCATCGTAGTTAAAAGTAACTACTTTTTATATAGTCTGATTCTTCGTGATGAAATTAGGCGGTACTAATAATAATGAAAATGCTTTTGTAATACAAAAAGTTGGTTCGATTAAAAGTTAATTGAATCGGAACTTTTCAGTCTGTTCGTTCCACTATGTCGTGTAATTGTTCGTGGTTATGATGACGAAGCTGAATCATCGGTCAGCCCCGATCGTTGAGTGTCACCATCATCAAAGATAATTAAATTTTGGTCGGAAAAGTCTGTTCCTGATTCCTGCGAGCCTTTGCCATTACAATGCTTCTGTTGTTGATCAGAGGAATCATCAGCACCGTTGATTAATGATGAGGGTGGATGAGTTAACTTGTTTAATACGTGTGCAGCTCGTTTACGAATATCTTCATCCTTAACCGTTTCCAAT